ATTATAGAATTGAAAATTGTCAAATGTTGCAAACCTTATAATCTAGCAACAAAAATATGCCACCTTTGTCTCTACGAAAAATATGTTATTTTATCACACAATGGAAAAAATCTACTGAATAAAAAAAATAAAATCGTATCTCACTATTAACATTCAAAAAAAATTTTATTATCTTTATTCGACACGGGGGAATAGTAAACTTTAATGGCTCTTTGTTTTTGTTTTTTGATTTGTTTTTACGTAGATTTGTTTATAACGTCAGAAGTCATTCTACAGTAATTTTTGTACATTTTTGTAACGGTTTGTTTACTATTATTATTATTATCATTATCATTATTAATATTATAAATATTATAATTATAACTATTATTTGCATTATTTTATTACTTACAGCCTAAATTTTGCTACAAACCCCTTGCACCACCTCCAAATCAACTTATTTATGGAGAACATAAAAATTTCATTCTACGAGCGCATTTATATCAAGCAAGAAGTTTAATTGGAAGTGACGCATCTGGCTTGTCTGGTACAAATTCTTACTTGTTTTTTCAACATAACTTGTTAAGCTCTTTAATTAATATTTAAAAAATTTTTATTGGTTTTTATATAAAATTCTACTGGTTTTTTCTTTATTGTTTAATTAAAAATAATAGATGCATTTGCTCGTATTATTATTGGAAGTCAAGCAGCAGACACTCGTGTCATTTGGGAAACACGTTCTCCTACATGGGATCAAATGGTTATCTTTAAAGATATAATTATTTGGGGAGATGTTGATACTTTGGCTGCAAATCCACCAACTATTGTAATTGAAATTTTTGATAAAGATATTGGGGTAAATGATTAAATCTCTTTAAATTTTTTGTGTGGCTTTTTTTATATAGATTACTTTTATTGAAGTAACTATAGTAACAATAACAATCATATTCAACCATTTTTCAACCATAAAATTTTTTTTTTTTATTACTTTCAGATAAATTTTTTTATTAAATAACAGATAAATACCAAAATAATACCAAAATACATAGAAATGTTTTTAGATAATAAATGGGTTTTGACATCTGTCTTGCATAATAATCAGAACCAGCATATGAAATATAAAAACTTCTTTTAATGTCTTGGTGGTTAAGTTAAACCACAAATAACATTGATTGGGCATTACTTTTATCAAGAGCCAAGATAAAAACCAATTTTCTCCACAATTAGAATTGCATATCTATTATAAACTGCACTGTGGAGCTTTACTGGTTGCAGGTGTAGTATCCTGCTTTTAACCACTACTTGCAAGCAAAATTATTTCTTGTATTCACCAAATAATGAACAGGTCAAATAGCATTTGACTAGTTTCCATTTTAGATTCCACCTGAATTTCTAAAATTTCAGATGAAATCAAAAAAAAAAAAAAAAAATGAAAAAGTTTTAATTATTCTACTTCCATTCTTTTTTTTGTTTTTTTTTTTTTTTTTTTTTTGGTCTGCTTTATTTTTTTTGGTCTGCTTTATTTTTTTTGGTCTGCTTTAGTTTTTTTGGTCTGCTTTATTTTAACTGATACTTTGAAAAGTGTTATTTAAAGCTGCTCTGGCTACTGCTAAAGTATTTTCTAAAATAAATGTTGTTGTTATATACTGGATTATTGAATATTGTAAACATTTTAAACATCTTTTAAGAGCTTTTTTTAGAATTCACAGACTTATTGTAGATTTTGATTGACGCTGGACATTGTCCTTGGAAATGTACAGTATTTACAATGTACATAATACAACTGCCTGAAAATAAATGCTGTTTTACATGTATTGATATTTTAATCTAAAAATGCGGTCTTTGAAAACATTGAAAACACAAAAATGAAAATTTGATTGTTTTTTTAAATAGTAATACTATTTAAAAAAACAATCAAATTTTCATTTTTGTGGTTGGTGTTGTATTATAAGAAATGATACTGACTTGAGATCACAGCATTGTTTTGGTAAGAGATCTTATAATATTAATGATTTCTGTGTTATAATCGATTTTTAAACAATTTAGTATTTTATAATGGTGGAAAACAATAATAGTTTAGTTTTTCATGAATCAAAATTATAAGAAAAGAGTCAAACTAACTGAAATTGCCACTAAGTACTTATTTAGACAATCAATTGTAATCAAGTGAGTTCTTTAGAAATGGAACATAAGAGTGAAAGACCATGCAAAATATCTTGTTTTACTGTCATTTTTTGCCATGTCAAAAAAAATGTTTTTAACAGTGCTAGTGATACTAAAACAGAAACAAAAACATTTAGTGTCTGAAAATACAGTTTGCAGGCAGTTTCTTTGCTTTTAGAACAAAGAAACTTTAATTTTTTTTTGTAGTACAACTCTCGTGAGAATAAATGCTTCTTTATTACTGCAAGAAGTTGATGTAAAAAAGACACTTTAATAACTCTGGCTTCAAAATTTGTTTTAGAATTTTTCTAGTTTCTAATTCAATTAGAATAAACATCTATTTTGTATTTAATATTTATTTTAAGGTAATCAATCTTTACTTGAAGTTCTTCTGTTAAAATATAGTTCTTTTTAGCTGTATCACATTTTTTTGAAATTTTTTCTTTGCAAATTTTTATTGCTCTTTTTTTTAAGAAAAAAAAAGTTGTTGTCACTAAAAAATAAAAATAAAAAAATTCCTGAAAAGTTTTTTTAATATGTTATAAAGTTCTTTAAAAAATATGTTTAAATTTTTTGAAAACACTAATTTGTTGGTTAGTTATAAAATCAAACTTTTTTCCTTTATTGTTGACAACTTAAATTTATCAAAAAGAAAACTAATTAGTTGTAATCTTTGATTTTAAAAAAAAAATCAAAAAAAATGATTTTGTTTTGTTTTTTTATGTGCAGTGTTTTTAAAATTGTTTATTGATTTCACTTTTTGAAAACTGTTATGTTAAGTATTTTTTTAGTTAATTATGTTAACTTATATTTATATTCAATATTTTTGTGTATTTTTGGTTTGTGTAATTTTGTTTTAATTTTCAATTGTATAATTTGATATTAACATTCATAAATTGCAGTCCTTGTTTTAAATAAAAAATGCATTAGCTTGTTGCAATATTTGAGTTCACAAATTAATTATAACTTTTGTAACAAATAAATTTACTTAAAGGTTAATCAAAAGTTAATGTGACTTTTTTAAAATTGGTTACTACTTTTATCTTATCGCTTACTGAACAATTTAAAAATTAAAAAATGATAAAAAGTTACTTAACCAAAATTGCTTATTGTTTATGTAAAATCGCTTAAGACGTATGTAAATCACTCTACGTGTAACGCTTTAAAACAAGGCCTGAAATTGTTTTTAGGAACTTAGTTTCTTTTTGTTAAATGCATTTTGATTTTTTAGGGTGATTCAGAGTTTATAGGAAGAGCTTTATCACGCCCTTTGGTTAAGTTAGCTCATGAGAAGTATGAGAAACCATTGTTTCCACCTGCATTGGAGTGGTTTGAAATTATGCGTGGCGAAGAAAGAGCAGGAGAACTGTTAGCTGCATTTGAATTATTGCAGGTTATAAATAATTTGCTTAATACTAAAGCTTGTCTTTTAAAATAAAAAAAATCTTTGGATTTAAAGTTTTTGATTCTGTTGCTATCATTTTATTTGTAACTAAAGTTTTTTAGTTTATTAAAATTTTCCATTGCAACTTTTAGTTTCTTTCTAATCTGCTCAGATTTTGTATTATATGAAATTATATAATACATCGCTTGACTATTATATGATACTTTATTGTACATGGTACTGTTCTGTATGATATGGTACATGAACTAAGAAATATAGGAAAGATAAGTGTATAGGAAAATTGGAAAGAATAAATGATAATCCTTAACCATTTATTTTACAACTTTGTATGAAAACGTCAATAACACAAAAATTTGATTTTTTTTTTAATTGAAAGTTTTTGTTTTCATTAAAATCCTGAAAAAAAAAATAAAGATTAAATCTTGAGCGTAATAAAAGATTTTGTTTTCAAAGATTTTGAAAATAAAATTGTAAACTTCTCATAGTAGAAGATACAGACCTAAGAAAATGAGTTAAAAAACTGGAATTAAATGGTAAAGCTTTTTATATTTGTTTTGAACTTGTTGTTAATTTAATTTAACAAATCTATCACCTATTCTTTTTGCTTTTGTTATGTAATTATTTTTATTAATATGTTACTAATCTCATTTACATCAATTATGAATTGATGATTAATCTCAAGTTTTAGTCTTAAAATCATTATTGAAATGGCTGAGCATAAACATGCCTCTTAAAACTCTTATGAAAAATGAAAACTAACACCTGTCAATTTACAAGAAAAAATGAGTGAAGGTTGATCGCTTCTTTTAGTCAACAAACCCTTTTTTTTAAATAGGACTATAGCTATGATCTTATATATATATATATATATATATATATATATATATATATATATATATATATATATATATATATATATATATATATATATATATATATATATATATATATATATATATATATATATATATATATATATATATAAAATATATATATATATATAAAATATATATATATATAAAATATATATATATATATAAATATATATATATATTTGTGTGTTTAAAAAAGTGTAATTTTTAGGTGGTTGAAGAAGGAAAATGCTTTTTACCTGATGAGGTAGAGCCTATCGACTCATTAGATGGAAAGATTTTGCCAGTGCCTGATGGCATTCGACCGGTTATGAAGAAGCATAGAATTGAGGTAACATGTTAAATATGGTTTGATTATTAATTCTCCTGATAAACGCTATAAAATATCATAGTTATATATATTAAATAACAAAAATCTTTGTTTTATTTAATGTTTTTTTCTATTTTTCTTACTGATTCACCTAAATCTTTATTATGAATGCATGTTTAGATCTTTTTTCAGGTATTTAATGTTTTTTTTATCTGTACTTTACATTTAAATGTTTTTAAATTGAATTTTGAAGATATTTAATATTTTTTTTAGGTTTTATTTTGGGGTGTTCGAGAAATGAAACGTGTCAACTTGACCACAGTTGATCGACCACAAGTTGATGCTGACTGTGCTGGACATGTAGCTCAATCAACTGTTATTGTTAATGCAAAACGAAATCCGAATTTTGCAAATCCTGTTGCCTACTTTGATGTGGTAAATACTGCTATTAGAGTTTATATAAATAAATATTTTATTGTTAGTTATAGTATTTTCTAAGATATTGCATATATAGATATCAACAACACAGACAAATGTTATGTCAATAAATCAGATCAATAGTTAAATGGAACTCATATATTACATTTTTTATAAAATGTTTTATATGGTGTTATATTAACATAAAAGGATAAATAAAACATATATACAACATAGGGTTAGTATTAGGTTAAAACTAATAAAAATGTTTACTGACAATAACAGATTGATTGCAACAGAGCTCTAAAATGCCAAAAATGTTAATGTATTTAAAAATTAATAGATCAGTTTGTAAAATGTTATACATTTGTAGGACTTACCTGAAAATGAACGTTATTGTCCACCATTAACAATTCGAGTTCGAGATTGCAGAACATTTGGTCGCTTTACACTAGTTGGAACTCATGTTGTTAATTCTCTTCATAAATACTTGCAAGACCCAGATCAGTACAAGTATATTGCTGAGCTCAGAAAAACTGGTATGTACTTTTTTTTTTGTAAATAATTTTTTAAATTTAGCTTTCATGGGAAAACACTAATTAAACTTTATTTGTATTTCTTATTTTTTTTTTAAATATAATTTTAATACTTTTTTTTTCTTTTTCTAAACTTCAATTTTATATTCTTTATACTAACTTTTTTTCAAATTTCATTTTCATACTTTTTATATTTTCTTTCTTCTAAACTATTTTCATATTGTTTTTTTTTCTAAACTTCAATTTTATCATTTTTCTTCTTTTTTTAAAAGAGTTTCTAATAATAAATACCAGGGCACAAAATAAAAAAATCAAAGTTAGTCGGTAAATTTAATTGGCTAACACATGGAGTTGACTTACAACTGTTTTTATTGACTTGTCAGTTAAAAAGTTTTTCTTTCAGTGTTTTAACTTTTGTTTTTTAAAACTTACTAAAAATACTTTATCTTATAAAAGTACTGGTTTCACTTTTAAATCAAATCATTGCTTTTTTTACAAAAATTCACAACAAAGTTTTACTAAAACTGATTATTTAATATAATCAGTTGGAGTTGGATAAGGCGTAAAAAAAAGTGGAGTCGTAAAAAAAAGTACTCTGACTCTTCTATTGTTGAAATTTTCAGAGTACAACTCCAACTCCGACTCAAAAGCAAAATTTTAAAAAAATTCTTAGAATTCTTTAAAAAATATTACACAATAATTAAAAATAAATTTTTTTGCCAAATTTATAAAAGTTCTTTGAAAGTTTAATATGAATATTAGGTTAATTGAATATTTTATACATGCATGTGCAATACCAAGAAGTTTTACTATTGGAGTCGGAGTCGCGATTTTGTTTAGCGACTCTGACTCTACAGCCCTGCTAGAAGACCACTATTTTATAAAATGTTATAATAAAAATCGCTTTCTTGATAACTCAATAGAAATTTTGTTTAAATTGCTAAACAGGTTAATAACGTTCACTCATTGCAATGATTTCAAAAATTCGGAAAATATTTTAAGAGAAAATTTAATGAAAAAATTAAATGAGAAAAAAAAACAACATCAACAATTTAAAGAAGAATATTTAAGTTATTAATATGGTATATAAGATATAGAAATACTGTCTATGGAGGAATATTGAATATGAAAATATTTCATTTGATTTAAAATCATTTAAAGTTGTTTCAGTTCTAATCATATTGACGCCATATTTTAATTTTAATATTGATCTAGTTCATAATCGTGATGTCAAAAAGTTATTAATGAAAATAACATTTTTTCTGTGACTATTAAAAAAAAAAGTTTAACATAAGTCAGCTTAGATTAAACCATGTCAGCTAAATAGTTGTAAACTTGCTGTTGTATAACACAGAAGATAAAAAAAAAATAAAGAATAATAATTATATATTACTATTTTATGCAATTATATATTATTATTAATTGTAATAAAATTATTTAAAATTTTTATGCAAATATTAGGTTTTTCATAAATGAAAACATTTTTTCAAATGGCATTCATTTTTGGATATGCCTTAACCCTCATACATTTCCATAAACTCATGGGAATGTATCCATAAACTCATGAAAAATCAAATATTTAGGTAATGATACATGTGTCATTCTTTAAATGCTAATTAAATATAAATTAAATGTTATATAATTTAGGGACATTTGTTTTTTTTAAATAATTTTCTTTTTAAGTTTCTTTCTGGTTATTAAAATTAGATATTTAAAAAATATATATTTTTTAATAATTTTTTAACTTGAAAATTATTTTGTAAAAAAATCATTGTTTTTTTAAATTAAAGTTTTTTTTTTAACTTCCCAAATTAAAAGAACTCTAAAATTAGACTGATTAACTATTTTTTTATTTAGTTAAATTTAATTAAAAGTTACTTCAATATATAATTGTTTTTTGACCTTTAAAAGTACCAACTACTTTCTGAAAAATGAAAAAAAAAGGTCTTTAAAAAAACTATAATTATAACCTAAAAATTGCCCCCTTTCTGTATAATCGCCTCTGCTTGAGCAGTGATCATGATAGTATTTGTAGGAAAGTGAAAGAGATGCAACCTTATGTCTATGGAGCAAAAGCTCAAGGTTAGTAACTAGAATAGGCCCAACAACATTTTCAATGCATATTTGGACCTTGCCTAAAATAGAGAGCTTCATTAGAAGAACCAGCTCAATTATGATAATTATATTCCATATAATGACAAATAAGAGATATATAGATGTAAAAAATGAAATTAAGAGTTTGAAATGGCAAGCATGAAAAACAACCTTGTTTAGGGATTTAATAATTTTTTTTTAATGAAGACCAAATTTGATTTTTAATTGGACCATTTTTACAGAAATATTAATAGGATTGAAATATTGGTTAGATAGTTTTGGCCATGTTTTTAGTTTTAGGCATCAGTTTTCATTTTTTTAATTTCCAATCATGCTGTCTAGTCATTGATCACTTGCAAATTTAAACAAAATATCACTTGCAAATTTAAACAATGAGTTATTTAAATTTGCAAATTGAAACTTATTCTTTTTCTTCTTTAAAAATTTTCTTTAGAGGAAGACTTTTCAAGATCAGATTCTCCTGCACTAAAAAAACAAGCAATGGTAGAACTTTATGATGATCCATTAGAAGAACCAGAACAAGATAAAGAAGACATTCCTCTGATAGATCCAAAAATAAAAAAGGTAATTTCTACGTTATATTTTAACAATTTTTTTTTTTTTTTTTTTTGCAATGCAATATTTTTTTTTTTTTTGCAATGCAATATATTTTTTTAATTAAGCTACTTAAAAAATTGTGAAATTTTGAGTAAAAAACTTTGGTTTTTCTTAGATAAAATCAAACTGAAATAATTATTAAAGTTATTTTTTCTTTCTCAATTCTGTGTATTACATAAACTACCTGTTAACTTAGAAGTTAAGTTAGAATGAGTGAGTCAAATAAATCATCAGCCAGCTTTTTGTTCATCATAAAACAACTAGCAATATTTAAATTTCATGATGTCAAATCTTGTCATTAAAATTTCAAGATGTCAAATTCTCTTTACTTTTTTATTTTGTCAAAACAAAATAAAAAGCAAAGAGTTAAACATTGTTACAAAAAAAATTGTTGGAATATACTTTGTGATAAAAAATCCCATTTCACATTATTTTTGGAGTTAATTGAATCAATGCAGAAACAAGTTTCTATAATAAATATATATATTTATATTTATAACGTAATAAATATATATTTATATAAAACTAAAGATGATCACTAAGTATTTAATTTTTTGTTTATTTCCATGTTTTTAAAAACATCATGCTTTTTTAATAATAGATTAAAAAAAGTTTTTTTACTATTTTTAATCCTTTGACTGCGGCAAGCTATGAATGTGGCTTTTCTGCTGAAGTGTGGCTTTACAAGGGTGGTAAAGAACCAGTACAACACGGTGCTTAGGAAGATGCTCTGAGACCTTGCAACACATCCTCAAAATTTTTTTTTGTTTATTATCAGAAGACTATTATTTCAAAAATATAAAAAACAACATTTTTCACTAATTAAATACACTAATTTACCTATCTCGAACAACAAAAAGTAATTTTGTTGTTCGAGATAGGTAACTAAGAGCTATGTGTCATACTTAAATTTTTAGTATGTTAATAATGGTATCAAATGAGGATGAATTGCTAAAAGTTGAGGTAATTGGAGCTAACCCAACCCTGTCCCCAACCCGAATTGCCCCTTTCCTAGAACTATGTCTCCTAAGCTGATAAAGTTTTTTTTTAAGTTCTATCATAAATTAGACCAAAATTTATTGACAGATTTCAAGTTTCATCAAAAAATATCTTTTCGTTTAAAATTTATGACCATAAGAAGTTCAAAATTCCACAAATTCACCCCCTGAAACAACTTTGAATGGTCGTAACTTTTAAACTAGATATTGTTTTTGATAATATTTAAAATCTGTTGATGAATTTTGATCTAGTTAATATAACACTAAAAAAAAATTTGAATTTTTTTATTAGGGAACCATTTACTAGGGGTAGGGTATTAGGAATCCAATAGGGTTAACTACAACTACTTTATGGCCATAAAAAAAATGTTTCTGGTCTATTTGGTTAAATTATTATTTATATTTTGCATGTCATATATAATCATATCATATATTAAAAAATTATGCTAAGCAATTGTTCATGAGGTTAATATTATACTTTTTACAAGCTACCTGCAAATTGAAAGCTACTTTAAAAGTGTTTGTAGTTGTAGGCAACAACTGCATTTTTTAGCGCTTCAATATAGTTTGGGCTGTGTTCTCTAACTTTTCTCATTCACCTAAACTGATTGAAATCCTGGTGAATGGATTTCAGAGCTTGTTCGGTCTAGTAATCTAAGCGTACAGAATATAAAATGCACAAAATAAGTTTTATTCTATTTAATGAATAATCGTTATAGTTTATGCAAGATTAAACTTGCATAAACTGTTGTATTATTGTAATAATAATTAATCATTATTACAATAATACAATTAATTATTATTTAATAATAATTAATTGTATTATTAAATAATATTTAATTACTTTTATTATATTTAAATAATATTAATTTAATATTTTATCAAACTTAAAATTTATTTATCATACCGAAGACTGCACCTTTCATATCGACAAATTTCATAAAATGTTACTCAACTATGCGTACTTTCAAAGTAATTGTAGCCCCTAGATTTCTATAGTTCGTAGATAGTTACTCTATATCTTGACATAAGTAGAGTTTAATGATTTTCCAAAACAGCCATGGACTACTTTTTTAAAATCTCTAAGTACCTTAATGTATTTGGATAAAGGATCTCCAAGACTGGGCTCCTGAAAAAACATCTCAAAGCTGTCTATGTTTTTAAGCAACTTATTGCAAGCATTGCCTTCTAAACAATGCTGCTCTTGGTAGGATACTCTTCAGATGTTTATTGTAGACAAATATTATTTGACAAACTGTAACCCACACTCCTTGTTTTCAAACAAATTGTTTTCAATTTCTTTTAAAATTTCGTCTATAACACCTAAAAGTATATGTAGACTGGGAATATTAACAAGCTCTATTATTTTTTTATTTTTGTCCCTGTTAATAAAGGGGGTTGAACAACATTTGTGAACATTTTTGCATTTTTTAATTTTCATCAGATGTCCATTGGTCATATAATCTGCACAAAGATTCTAAAGAATAATGATCAGCTTTTTGAAAGTTAGGAGATGAGGTTAAGCAAAACAAACAAGGGTACTTTGATGTTGATAAATTTTGGTCTAATTTATGATAAATTTTAAAAAAAATTTGTATTAGCTTAGGAGACATAGTTCTAGGAAGGGGGCAAATTAAAAAACTAATAGGCTTTAAAATTAATTAAAGCCTATTAGTTTTTCTTTGATAAAAAAAAATTTAATATAATATACTACTTTTGTTATATTATACATATTTATTTTTGTTGTATTATACATAAACATATATTATCTTTAATATTTGTACCAGTATTATATTTACATATTTTTAAAACTATTTCATATAATTGTATATTATATATATGTATATATATATATATATATATATATATATATATATATATATATATATATATATATATATATATATATATATATATATATATATATATATATATATATATAATAATAATAATAATAATAATAATAATAATAATAATAATAATAATAATAATAATAATAATAATAATAATAATAATAATAATAATAATAATAATAGCAATAATAATAATAATAATAATAGTAATGATAATGTTTATTTGCATTAAAATTAAATACAAAAAGGTGAGACACAAGATTATGCTTACGTAACACCACTAATATAAAAATAGACAATTAAAGAGACAATTATAGAGATAATTACAACACAAATACAGTATGCAGTATTGCAATTTAATAAATAAGGAGAATCAACAATGTGAGCTGATAAGGAATTTCATAATTTTACAGTTCTTTTGCTGAAGAAGAATTTACGATAATTATTTGTACATATATTGCGTGATGAAAGTTTTTTAGTGTGACATCTAGTATTGTAGTGAGAGTTGGAAAAGGTAAAGAGATTGGAAAAAGGTCAACGTGATTGTTTACAATTTTGTATATAATAATAAGATCAAATTTAACTCTACAGTATTCAAGAGATTCAAGATTCAGAAGAATTAGTCTTGATACGTAATCAGAATAAGAAATGTGGCATCTTTTACAGGTAATTCTGCTGAAATATCTTTGAACATTTTTGATACAACGAATATCTATTAGAAGATAAACGCTCTACACTGGGGTACAAGACTCTAAAATAGGTCGCACATAGACTTTGTAGGCTTTTACTAAGAGAAAAGGATTGTTACTGATAAAAGTTTTAAAAAGTAGGTTAAGGCGAGAGTAAGTTTTTTTGGCAATATGAGAACAATGCTTGGAGAATTTTGTATCAGATGATACAGTAATACCAATATCATCAATACAGTTAACAGTATTTATCACGGTGTTGGGAAAAAATGAATACGAGGGAACATGTAAAAAACACGTCCAAAACATACGCAGAAACGTATTATTGTAATAGGTTTATTGAACGCTTTTTTTAGTTGCCAATTAGTTGTCCAATTGAAAAAGTTTTTTAAGGAATTTACAAGGTCTGCAGGAATTTACAAGGTCTGCATTAATGTTTGTGCTTTTATCTCTCTCTCTTGGTATAATTTGATATCATCCGCAAACAGCTTAATTCCACAGTCACCCTTAATAATCGAGATTATATTGTTGATAAATATTAAAAATAAAGCCAATACAGTTCCTTGAGGTATTCCACTCTTGACAGATACGTAATTTGAGTAAGAGTTGAATAATTTGAGTAGCTAATGCAAACACATTGAGATCGGTCAGTTAAAAAGTTTGTAATCCAGTATAGCAGTTCATGCTTAATGTCGTAAGATTTCAATTTGTGCAATAATTTGGAATGTGAGACAGAGTTGGAAGCCTTTTCAAAATCATTATAGATAATATCAACTACCTTGTGCTTGTTAACAGCCATGGTCCATTCATTTAGAGAAGCTAACATTTGTGTACATGTGGATCTGCGTTTTAGGAAGCCAAACTGATGGATTGATATGAAGTTATTCAGCAGAATATAACTTTTTAAGCTTTTGTCGATAATAGATTCCACAACTTTGCAAATGATACAAGTAATGGAAATAGGCCTGTAGTTAGAAGGTAAGGAAGAGTTACCTTGTTTGAAAATTGGGTATACAATAGCGGTTTTCCAAATTTTCGGGATTACACTGGTTAACATAGATAATTCAAAAAGGATTAAAAGTGGGATGGCAATATTAGTAGCAAGTGATTTCAGCAATATAGCGAGAAACCCGTCAGGTGAATTTGATGATTTAGGTGGGAGTTTTTGAAGAGTCATAAGAAAAAAGAACAATATTCAGAGAATTATCATGAGATGGAAGATTTAACACTGGTGTGATACTGTTGTTGGAGACAAACACTGAAGCAAAATAGTTATTTAAAAAGGTCAATTTTTCAGAATCATCAGTACAAAGAAAAATGACTTTACAAGAGGCGGAACAGAATTTGGACAGGTAGATTTGGACTTGACGTACGAGTAAAATTGCATTATTGCAAAATTAGCTTTTTCTACAATATTTTTTTCTTTAGCAATACAGTATCTAATAATCGGAACATCATATAAACTTTCTTTTTACAACTATGAACTACTATTTAGTCACAAATATTTTGTCATTGTCAGCAATACTGTATCTTTCTTTAAAAAAAGATCATTTATAATAATATCAGAGAAAAAAACCCAAAAAAATTTAAAAACATTCTATGATTTTCCAAATCTTATAAAATGTTTAACCAAAACATTTTCTCATGCTCATTATCCTCTTTATCCTCATGTTTTTATCTCAGAAGTCGTATTTCAGTGACTTAAGATATCTTTAGAAATGTCATAATTATGTTAGTTATGTCATAATTAACAGTGACTTGTAATTGACAGTGAATTAAGATATCTTTAGAAATGTCATAATTATGTTAATTATGTCATAATTAACAGGTTTATTTGTTTCTACTGCTGATTTGTTACCAATAATAACTGAGAGGTAAAAACCGAGTTCAATGGGGTTCCACAAGTTAACATTTTGTTTCTTATCTACATTAATGATTATCTTATTAAAAAGCTATTAGCTAGTGATTTAATGATGTACTCCGGTCTTTTTCCATAATTTTTTCACTTTAGACAGTTGATCTTTAGTATAATTTTTCATCCCTCATTGTAGTGTTTTAGGTGGCTGGTGAATTTAAACTAAAATCTATTTTCCATATTGTTGTTTCAATAATTTTAATTTTCATATATCTAAAAATTCAACATATTTGCTGCTGTATTACTTTATGGCTTTTAAGATGATTTCATCATATAAAAACGATATAAAAAGTCCACTCAAACCTTATCCTTTGCTAAGATTTAGAGTTTCTTTATTGGGCTTGCCATTTTTATAATCCTGATTGTTTTCCTCAAAAATCTTTTGTTTGTTCTTGTTGTACTGTTATCATATATAGGCTTAATCTTCTAATGATGCCCTTTTTCTTTTAGACAAGATGCAAAAACACATTGTAAACATTGTAACACATTGTAAGTTGGACCAACTCTAATAACTTAGCTGTAAGTTTAGTTCTCTTTCTCCATTCTGCAAATACTGCCATTATACCGTTATACTTTCCCGTAAATACTATCATTGCTCTAAAAGAACTATTGTTTTGTGTTGCGCCTACCAAATATATAAAAAAAAATTTTGACTGTTTAATCATGTCATTTTACAGTGGTTGTGATTTTTAAAATCACATACAAGTCTTAAAATAGGATGTTTAAAATATTTTAAAATTTATGTTAAAGTTGACAATTACACCATGTTCAATTAATGTTGGTGATGACAACATGTCTACTTGATAAAAATATAATTATAATTGAAAAGATTATGCAGTTGTAACTATTACATTTTAATATTATATTTTTAATGACACTTCTTAATATAATAATTTTAATTCTTTTAGCCACGTGAACTTCCTATAAAAAAAGTAGATATTGAAGATGAAGACGATGAGAGCTCTTTGGATTGGTGGTCACGTTATTATGAAACTATTAAAGACACAGAACGAGAAGAAGAAGATAAGAAGGCCAAAGAAAAACAAGTTAAACCTGAAGTGGGGAAGAAGAATAAAAATAAGTTTAGTGATGGTCTTGACATGGAAGTAGAAAAACGTTCTAAAAAATCTAATCCTAAAATTACACGTCTAAAGGTAATTTACTTATTATAATATTTTTAAGCTCTTACTATATATGGTCAATTCCGCAAGAAAGAGGAAAATAAAAAAAGCAAAAAATTATAAAGATATATACTAAACTCCATAACTCTTTTTTTAACTATTTTAAAATACTTTTAAGCAAAAAAGTTATTTAGAAAAATCATTTTATCATACCATAGCATGGTTTTAGGGTTGTAATAAAATAATTACAGTTCTGTTGCGTAGCGTTGAAAATTGTATCATATATCCATAATTGAGAATTTTGATAATGTTATAATTCATTTTTTTAACATAATATACATGGTTGTTAATAATCATTTATACTTTTTTTCTTACGTCATTGATTGCGTTGTTTTATTTGTTATTTAAGCATTGGATTTTTTGTTACGACTATCATGACAAAAAAAATTAAAGTGCTTGTAAAACTTTGAGTAAAAACTATGAAACTCAGCAAATAATAACATCAATATGTACTCAGCAAATAATAACACACAAATAACAGCAAATAATAATTCAGCAAATAATAATATCAATATGTGCTAAATTCACACACCAAATGATTTTTTTTTGACAAAGTCTGACAAAGTTGTTTTGTTCAGAAGTGGTAAAAAGTAAACGTTATGACCGTCACCCTACTTAGAGTTAAAATCTGAAAAATGTTAAAGACTTTAATGCTGTAACTTTTAGTTACTAAATAATATGATAATATTTCACATTTTTGGAAAGTTTCAAGTCATTTCCATTTTCGGTTCATTTTTAATAGCTTAAAAAGTGTTGAATGTTATGACCGCTACTCTCCCAGAATTGCACATATACACACAAACACACATATATAAATTTATATATATATATTTTTGATATATGTATATATTTTTTTGACACACACACACACACACACACACACACACACACACACACATATATATATATATATGTATATATATATATATATATATATATGTATATATATATATATATATATATATATATATATATATGAATATTGCAAATGTATGTATATAATAAATATATGTATATATATACAACATGCATTGGTAGACTGTGTCCATTTTAAAGGTAAAGTGTTTAAATGCAGCCTGATCTCAAAGCTCTTCATCCTGGTGATGAAGTTGCTTAATTTTGAGTTATGAAAAGCTCTTGGCAGAAATAGCAGTTCAACAAGGTGTCTGCATATTTTTGGTCTTACCACATAGATAATTTCTAATAGTTGATCTGGAAACTTTGTTGCTCTCAGAGACCCTTTTAACTAAAATACCAAAAGCAATGGCCTTCATAATCTTTTCCACTCACTCTATGAGGTAGTTACTGTGTGCGTAACCTTACTTTCGTTTGTATGTGTATATATATGGTATGGCATATTAGTATTAGTAATAGTAGTAATATATTTGAGCTGTGACCGATAATTTGGTGAGTGTACCAAGTATACTTAGACAGCTATATCATTATTCAACATTGTTACATTATTTAAAATCCATGTCAAATTTAGCTTTAAAAAAATTCACAGAAATAGCATTAATGAAATCATTAGGTAGTCAATTCCAGTAAAAAGATGCTCTGTTTGTTAAAAAATAATGCCCAGGCAAAAAAACTTGTTATTCTGTAATTATATTTCAGTTGATAAACTCTTGTTGATTGATAATTTCATTAATTTAAGTTTAATTAAGTTAAGTTCTTTTTGGATTATTTTTTGCCAAAGTGCAAAAAATAACCCAAAAATTAAAATTTTTGTTTGATAAAAAATAAAAAAAATTTTATCAAACACTTCTCAAAATTCAGTTTTAATAACCATTTGTTGGACCAGATGACAGCTTTATCTAGGTCATGGTTCTAGATGAAAATGTTGGCAAATTAAAATCATTTTCACAGACCAATACATCTTGGAACTTGTTATTTCGTAAACTTACTATCTGATTTGGGTCATTTGTCACTATTCCATTTTCATTATGTAAAGCTTTTATCGAGTTATTGATCTGTTGTTGTCTATTCATATATTTGTAAATTAACTTTGGATTTTTCTTAGCCAATGTCACAAGGTTTTTTTCATAATTTTGTCTAGCTTTTCTTGATTCATTTTTGACTATCTTGCAATATACATATATATATATATATACATATATATATATATATATATATATATATATATATATATATATATATATATATATATATATATATATATATATATATATATATATATATATATATATATATATATGTATATATATATATATATATATATATATATATATTTACCCCTCTTACCTTAAGGTAAATGCTTTGAGCTTAAAAATGCACTTATCTAAGTAGCTCATAGAGATCTGGTTAAAGTTTAAGGCAAATCGCCCCTCAAGTATTTGCTTTTAGATTTGGTTTAGATTTTGTCACCTCACCTAAAGACAAGGTTGAATTGTTTGCTGAAAAACAGGTTAGTCCATGGCCAGTCTTTCATATCACTCCAGCTTATGTATCCAAAGTAATTTCTTGTTAAGACTCTTTCTACAGTTTGTGGTCCAGACAACATACCTGTTATTGTCTTGCAAAAGTGATCCCTGGAGCTGTCTTCTATATTTACAAAACTGTTTAACAAGTGCTTATCAGAGTCTTGTCTTCTATCCTGCTGGAAAGCAGCATCTGTTATCCCGATTTTCAAAAATTCTGAAGAGCAATCTGACTTTTCTAACTAATGTCCCATTAGTCTTCTTCCTATCATAAGCAAAGTGTTTGAGTCTTTAATTAATAAACACTTAATCTCTCATCTTGAATCTAATAACTTACATTCTGATCATCCATATGGATTTTAATCTTCTCGTTCTCCTGCTGATTTGTTGTATTAACTGATAGGTTTTATTGTGTGTTCGATAGATGTGGAGAGGTTAAGGCTATTGCTCTCAATATTTCTAAAGCCTTTGATAAATTTTAGCATGCTGGTCTTCTCCATAAGGTTTCTTACTATGTAAGAAACCTTATGGATATGTATGGTAACATTTTTAAGATTAATCAATCCTTGCGTTTAAAAGTTGTCCTCAATGGACAGCACTTTTCTTTATACCCTGTAACTTTAGGGGTTCCTCAAGGCTTTATCCTTGGCCTTATACTCTTTTTAATTTACTTTAACAATCTTCCAGAAATTCTCACATCTAAGGTGGCATTGTTCGCTGATGATCCTACCACTTATTCTTGTCTTGATAAGAAGCTAACACTCTCTGATTGAAAGGGCATTTGAGCTTGAAAAAGATCTTACTTTTGCTACAGCATGGGGCTCTAAGTGGCTGGTGAACTTTAAATCAGATAAAACTCAATTTTATCAGCTAATTGTTATCATAATAATCTAGATCTTCCTATATTTATGAACGGTAATGTACTCAATGAGTCATTTACCCTTTATCTTCTAGAATCAACTCTTACCTTTCTTGGAAACCATATATTGGAAGAGTTAATCCTATGTGGAAACCATATAGGATTAACTCTTGGCCTTTCTTGAAAACCATATATCAAATTAATTGCAAAAAATATATATATATATATATATATATAATATATATATATATATATATATATAAATATATATATATATATATATAAATATATATATATAAATATATATATATAAATATATATATATATATATATATATATATATATATATATATATATATATATATATATATATATATATATATATATATATATATATATATACGATGTTTATTAAGAGTATATTTTTTAACAAAAAAACAATGTATTTTTTACCTGATGGTTGCTAAACGCATGACACTTTTAGTAGTAAAAATTATGCAGTTATTTTTTATTTAATCTTGTCAAAAAATCAATTATATAGCTCTGATATCATTCATTGAGCACTCTTGCTGAATATATGCTTACAGCAAAATTAAACTTTGCGCCAAAACGAATCTTTATATCATGCCATATAAAAAACAGTTGAGTTAAAACTGATAGTTGCTATCAAACAATATATTTCAGTTTCAGTTTTCTTCAATTTTTAAGTATACTAAGATTATTAGTTTAAATAATGAACTTGTTTTTACACTAGTATTTGTTTAAGAAAATACAAATAGTAAGACACAAGAAAAAGTTTGAATTTTAGTTTATATTAATGAATAAAGATGCAAAGTACTTATTTTTATTTTTTGATTAATTGTGAAACTGTATCATGTTGGGTTGAAAACAATTTTAAACACTATAAAACAATTTTACAAACCATGTTTTGCATCAAAAATACAGATGAAAGAAATGAAACTGTAATCAGTGTTCTTAAGATATAAAGACTAGAAGATGAGATAGCCCAAGTTGGAGATAATTTTTTTTTTTTTTTTAACATCTTTGCTTCCAACAAGGCTGCAAGCAACCACTAATTAGTGTTGGAAGTTACTGGAAGAGAAAAGATGAAGATTGTAGAGCAAGATAATGATTGACAGACGACTTAAAAGGTTGCAAATTATATGATTCAGGAAAGCAAGTTGAAGAAAGCGAATTCCATAGAACTGATGTTCGAGGAAAAAAACTAGATGAATAAGAGTTTTTGGAGCACTTAGGATCAGTAACAGAAAAAGGATTAGATTTGACTCAGAGTAAGCAGGTATAAAACACTAGAAATAAAGCCTAAAGTTAACAGCTATTAGACTTAATAGCATGGAATTGAGACTTTATAAGGGTAACTGAGTCTTCAGTTATCTACACTCCTACATCTGCTACCCTCAAAGAACTTTGTAAACTATCCTATTGAAGTTTTTTGCTGGAATTATGATACACAGTTAACCGATGCATCAAATTGAGGTTGTAAATAAGGCTGTAAGCCATATTTACAAATACAGGTAAAGATATAAATGTGTTTGATTGCAAGTAGACATTTAGTATAAAGTAATAGAATTCATAAGAATATGACTTTGTACCTTGTAATAATTGTAATAAATATTTTGACCTTGTAAAAATTGTAAAATAAAACTTAAAAATAG